GGAGAGGGGGGGGGGGCTAGTCACAACCTAGTCCTGCATATTAGGTCCAACAGTATAGGATCCATTTAAAAGTGTTTTCACACTCTGGAGTTTACCTCCCCCCGCTCTACGTCCTCGGCATCCAGTGCACTCAGCGGGCTATTTAATTGGATGCTTTCCCTGCCCATGAGCGTCACTTTACCCGCCCACGAGGAGCACGGAGCGGTGGGTCTCGGGCTGCAGTCAGGTACAGTGTTGCATCCAGGGCCGTCTTTAATACTGATTGGACCCTGGGCAAACATTTTCTTGGGCCCCCCGTTCCTACCTATCCCGCCCCCGCCATGCAATTTCGCCCATGCATACGCAGGAGCGGAGCAACACTATGCAATACCGATCGCACAGTAAACAGAAGAGTGGCGCAGGTGTATCTTTTGCGGACTCAAGGGCGGGGCCGGTGCAAGGATTATTGTGTACACAGGTGAAGGTGCATTATTCACCCCCTCTCTCCCCCCCCCGACGCCCACAGACGACTGTCTATGCAGCCTTAGTAAGGTTTATTGCCCCCCCTCATATGTACATGTGTGTGACCCCTCTCTCTGGACGTTGTGTTCCCTAATACACACATGCAGCAGCGAGTACAGACATTCAGGGCCTCCCCATCAGACACCCCCTGTTCATGGTGCCCTGATTCAGGCTGTAGTCCCCTCACCTGGCAGGCTCCCTATCCCTTATTCAGGTGTAAAAGCCACCTTTGGCAGCTGCCCTTTGGGCCCCACAACAATGACCGGGCCCTGGGCAGCTGCCCCTTTTGCCCTGCGTTAAAGACGGTCCTGGTTGCATGCAGCAACGTTCACAATTCTTTTTGTCTCCTTTGGTAGGTGAAGAGCGGGCAGTTTACGAGGAAGCTTTGGGGCTCCACACGCCGCATATCGCAAGTCTCCTCCGGAGAGACAGAATACAGGCCGACGGAGACCAAGTGAACCATAAGAAGACCTCGCTTGTGGTCTGCAGTAAATACTTTGCCGTCACAACCGGTCCCCACCAGTACATGATGGGGGAGGGGCGGCGGTCTGGGTATTCCTGTGCAGAGGGTACCCGGGCGCCATGTGACGGGAAAGGTTCAACGTCCGAATGTGATGACATCACCCGCACCTTTCTCCAGGAACACCTGGACACCTGTTGCCTTAGAGGGGGCCCTTGCACTGCCCCCTCCGCCCATTCCACAAAGACATTTTGTTTTGTTTTTCCGGCTTTTTTTTGGTGGGGGGGAATTGAAAAAGGTCAATATTGAGACTTGCAGCAAAAGTTTGATGTTTATAGCTGCGCGGACCGCGATCCTGCACATTGAACTGCTGGGAGGATGTCTTGCTGCTTCGGAATTCGCGGCGTTTCGCTGCCGTTTTTTAAAACAATCCGAATTTTTTATTTTTGTTTTTAATGATCCCGGCGGCGGAAACACCGAATCGTTTTTACTGAATGGGATTCCGGCGGAGGGGGAAACGTGAAACTTGCACTTAGCTCCGCGCCAATCTACCACGTGTCTGTAATTTGACGTTCCGCGTACGGCGCGGGCCGCTGTACCGCTGTCTCTTACCTGCTGATTTTGGGGCTGAAGAACATCCCCGAGCTTCGGGGGGGTTGTTACCAGTTTATCCGAGGGGATGTTTATAATGTATTGCCTTTTGTGCTGGGGAACGCAAGTCGGGTTTTTAGGGTAATCGTCTTTTTTAAAATGAATGTTTTTGAGGACCAAAATGGGACATTTCTGTGGTGAAGGGACTGGAGGTGATTTAAAAACTGAACTTTTATTGTAAGGGGGCGGGGGTTTTTTTGGGGGGAGAGGG